AACCAAAGCAGCTGACCCCAGGACAGTCTGGGACTAAGGCTGTGAAAAAGAAGAAGAAGAAGAAGAAGGTCATTCTGTTCCATCACTCGAAAAGGTATACCTGTCTGCTATGGAGATTAATTAAAAATTTAAAATAGGACTGGATTGAGACTTATTAATTATATAATTGAATGCCTTTTGGACTTAGACTGAATCAGAAATTATATTTGTACCAACTTATATTAAAATCTTTTTGTTTTGAATTGTTAAGACCTATTTTAGGTGTCAGTAACAGTATTTTTGAATTTCAAAACTAGCCTATATCAATACATCAGAAAATCAATTTGATTTCCATTTAGAGTGTATATAAATAATTTCATTGATAGTTATGTTCTTTGTTGATCATTTGTGAATGTATAGAAAGTGATCTTTTTCTCCCATGAGAGAGAGCTTTTACTAAAAGGTTAGTGTTTGTCTTAATTCTTCTAAAGATGTGTGAGTGAATCTTTTTTTTATTTCACGGGATTGTACTCCCAGAAATAGATTATAAAAGATGGTTATAGATTTTGAACATCTTTTTTACAATATTTAATTTTCCATGTATCCATCCATTTCCAGATACTGTCCAGGGTTTTTCAAATTTCCTTGTAGCTTTTTGTCATTCCCAACCTCTAACTGTAAATTAATTTGGTTTCCCTTATCAATATTCAGCATTCAGATAATGATGAACAATTTTAACTTCAAGAAAATGCATATACATCATTTCAAATTCATCATAACGGAAGGGTGTTATGTAATTAAAATAGGGGTGACTTATTTTCCAAGGTACTTTAAGTGCTCTACAATACAGTGTTACTTTACCTCCAGTCGGCTTCATCAGTCATAGCATTTTGAATAATAAACATTAAAAGTATACTTTTATTAATTTTTTGTTTATTATACTACATCAATAGTGATTGACTCAGGCCTTTTGGGTTCAGCACACAGTCTCCAAAGAACAGGGGGCTCTCATGTATCTCTGGCTGCAACCTCCAGAGTCGGGCACCCCTGTAGCCCCAGCTCAAAAAACTACATGGCTTCCATGTTTAGGGCTGGCTGAAGAAACTCATAGCTTCGGCAGCCCTTTCCTGCACCCGGGGCTCTTGATCCTGCAGGAGTGCCCTCAGTCCTGGGGAAGAAAATAAACAACCATTTTACTCTTGAAAACCTGTTCATTCTGCACAGCAGCAAGTACAAGCTGCAGCTGTAAAGATCACAGATCAGAATGGCATGGCCAGAACCAAGTGAAGTGGGATTAAAGAAAGAGAATAAGATTTATTGTGTGAGATCAGTTTTCTCTAAATGAAATGTATCTAAGAAAAGACACCGTTATCTCAACTTTCATTATTGTTAACATTCATATGAAGAACAACTGCACATACAGTAGGATAAAAAGGCAAAAAATAGGAAGAAACTCTCAAAGCATTACAAATCACAGTTCAGTTGCTTTAAAAACAGATATAAAGCATTACCAAGGGAAGTCTTCTGACTGCAAATATTATGTATTTTGAATTTTAAATTAAACATAATTGAGATTTGGACTATATGGTGCTCAGGAGTTTCTTCAGTTGTGGGTGAGAATAATTCACTTTAAGAAGAATTTGCTCAATTTTGAGAGACCCTAAGGTCTTTGCACTCTGGTACTCTGTTTGGTATGCTAAAGCTTACAGACAGCAAGAAAAACTGCTCAACATATTGGAACTTCTTCAAAGAGAAACAGGAAGGTTTCTTCACCTTGACGGGCTCTTCTGATGGCCAAGCATGAGCAGAGGGTATTTTGCCGCTGCTGCACTAGGAGGCCTGAAACAACAGAGATTTAACAATCAGAGATACTAGACACATAACAGTCAGGAGACTCTGAAAGGACACAACATCATCACGGCTTGTTTCCTGGTGACATATGTAAGCCTGGCAAGAAACTGGTGCCCCGAACAGTCTGCTGAAGTATTGATATGGGAGACATCTGGTACAGAGATTTGGAACATGCCTCATATAGGCTGCCTACAGTAACTGTATCACACGAACTCAGCTGTTGAACATCATGTGATATGCAGAGAAAGACCAATTTTGTCCAAGAACCTTTTACCAACAGGAGATAACATGACAGAAATGTACCAAAGTGTGATATTCTGTAACGGAATATCTTCTAAATCAAAGCAATTTGAGGTAAAATCAAAAGAGCTTTGTGATGTCTAAACTTGTGTCTAAGCTCTGTCAACACTCTTACCAATGAAAATGGCAGCACTCTCTCGAACCCATGGACATCTGCTCCTTGCAAACTTGAGGGCACAGTTCTGGTAAAGGCTGACATTGCCAGGGAATCTCTTTATCTGTATACAGAGGATATTAAAGGGCTGTGTGAAATTCCACTCCACTTAGTGCAAAAAGCCCCCTGTGACAGACAGCACTCCATTACAGGGTAGCAGGCTGGAGCCAGGTCTAGCCCTAAGCACAGGCAAACCACGCAACTGCAACACAACATATTTTTAATTGTTACATTCAAATGAGAGTGAAAAATACCCTATAGCAACTCTCTCTGTTGCTGCTGTTGGTTATACTAATGGAAGCCCAGTAACGTAATGTTTCTGAAGCACAGAAAAGAAGAGCGGGATAAGCAATCTCAAAACAGAGGTACACCAAGTGAAGTAAGTGTAATAATGCACAATATGAGTAACTGTAGACAAGTCACATTTTCAAGCTAGACACATAGACTACTTGATGTGTTTTATTAGAAGTTAACAAATTCACAGAAAAATAAGGTGTGAAAGTGAAAGTACAGTAACAAATACTGTTAATTTTTTAGTAATCAGTATTAAAACACATTGTTTTCCATGCAGTTTCTCCGGTATTCTACAAAGTTTCAATTCAGTACTTTGTAAGTTACGATTTGCTAAAATTTGGAAGTAACAGAGATCCTGTTTATCATTATTTATTGTTATTAATCCTCCTTTTTATTACCTTCAGTGTTAATACACATCACCTTTGTCAAATGTGTCTGTGTTCTTGTTTCTAAGTTATTTATTATGCATTCTTCAAGCTGGTTAATAAATGTTTTCTAGTTATATAATTAATTTATTTTATTATTCTAAGTAGTAAAATAAGGTTGTGTTGGGAGCTGACAATAGTAGTGTATGTGCAAATCTTGATCTGGAGGGGCCCTTTCAAAGGTCTTGTCTAGGGCTCACATAAAGCTAGGGTCGATGCTGGTTGAAGCACACACTCATCCTACACTCATACTGAGGTTGGGCACCATCTAGTGTGAAGTGAGGCTGACATTCATGGTGTATGTGAAGTCACTTGCAGATATTTCAGACTTATACACAGTTGGGACACAGACTCAAGTTTTTGTTATGTAAAGATCCAAATGGCCATGCTTTATCTCAGATAGTATTCATTAATTACCTAAATCATACTAATCGCAAATGAAGAAATCCTAGTATGTTTGCTGCTAGACAGGAGTCAGTGCCTTATGGCTCCCTCCATCAATTCAGAAGACAATCAAATCTTCTCCCTCCATCAAATCAGAAGACAATCTCAGGTGATCCTCACTCACCAGAATGCTGGCCATGTCCTTAATGAACTGGAGCTCCTTGTCTTGGCTGAATGTCTCCTCCAGAGGTCCTGTGATAACAGAGGAGCCCATTGATGGCATAGCCTCCCACAGAACTGTCCTGCAGGCCTAGAGAAATCCAGACCATTAAAACCAGCGATAATCTTCATATAGGCAATAAGTTGAAAGATGAAGTTCAGTAATTACAAAAAATTAGGCTAGATCTGAAATATGTCTATGCAACAATGATAGCATCTCTAAGATGTTTTTGGATTTCTGAACTTGATACATACAGTACAATGATGGCAGTGATTTTTTGCTTCCCCAATTTGAAAACAGTCCTGGTCAAAGACTTGGTGAGAATTGCTGGTACTGGAGGAGTCTGGTGGCAAACAATAATGCAGACTGGGTGAAATGAAAATTGGTAGATGTCACATCCACAGCTGCACCTGTTTCAGATCTGAACCTGACATCATGCCGATCTGTTTAAGCCATCATCTGCTATGTGAAACATGACCCATATCCCAAACTTATGTTAAAAAAGATACAATCGGCCATTTGATTCACAAATGTTTCAGGTATGACTCTAGCACCAACCCGAAGAAAATGTGTCAAAATACAGTTCTTGAGTCAGGGATGTCTGATTCAGACAGTTACCATTTTGATATGGTATCAATATAATATAATATAATATAATATAATATAATATAATATAAATAACATAAAAGTTTAATAAATACATTTTTGATTATTGATTTTTCCAAATTTATACTATTTGACAACACACTTGCCACTCCTCACATGCACAGAGGTCTACAGGTTCACTGGTTCAGTGTAGAACCACAGTTTATGGAAACAGCTGTAGGCATTCCTGTAAGAAGCACTGAAATCTTGTTAAACTCAAAGGTCTGCCATGCACAGAAGAAAGACCAGAGACGCCACTGAGTCCCTCTTCTGTGCCCTCCAGTTTCACAGCCTGACTCCAGCCAAGAGCAGCTGTGTGTCTTTACCTCGTTGACCTCAGGGCAGCAGTCAGTGAGATTGAGCAGCAGACTGACCAGGGAGCTGTGGACCTCTTTTTTTATGGCAGCATCCTCTGAACCCAGCCTGACCAGCTGCCCCAGAAGAAGCACAGTGGTGCTGCGGACTTCATGGCTCTCCTGTAAGAAAGATGCATAGGGCGGTGGTACTTTACACATACTGTACAACCCATAACATTCCCACTTCTTTTCACTTCTACATGCACAAAATACATGCTATAAAATCCAGTGTCATTGTCGCTTACTGTACAAACATTGTGACTGATAAACATTAACAATGGTCCTACTTGGATTTTACGTAGAAACATATCTGAATAAGAAACACCCCAGAAACCTACACTCTCCAGGCAGAGCTTTGCTCTACGGTACACAAGAGGCACCAGCAACTTGATCTGACTATTTTCGCAGACAGACAGGATGGTCATTAGTCCAGACAGAGCCCGCAGGACAACTGACTCCACTGGGGTCTCCATGGTTGAGTTGTAAGTTGCCAGATGCTCCTTCCTGTATCTGGGTATCTGAGGAATGAGGACCAGAAGTCAAATTTAATGTACACAATGGCAGGAACAAGTGTTATAGAGAAGGAAAAAGTACCTCCACATTGTAAACTGAGCACAGTATCCATATTTATCTGGCTTTTTGAAATGCCTTGAGACAGATTCTATGGTCACTTACAGCCAGGGCCAGATCACCCATCTTCATTCCCTTTGTTAGGCAGAGATAATCAGCCAGGTGCGTCACAATCTTGGACGCGACCTGGCTGGTGCTAAGGGCCTGCCAAACCTCCATGAGCAAACTGAAAAAGATACATGAAAATATCATTGTCACTATTGCACAAAAAATAAATCAAGGATCCAGCATCATTCTACACCTTAAGGTCTATAGCTTTACCCAGCTAAAGTGTTTCAGTTTGTCTGAGAAAATCAGTTTCTTCCAGCACAGTTACTACTGTAGCTAGGGCTGTATTGGCACTCCAGTGTCCCAGTGTGTTACCTCTCATGGATAGAAGAGCAGGTCAACAGGAAGCTGATGGTGAGTTTGAGGTTGTATGATGCCAGACACACAACCCCCTCCTTCAAACTCTCCCTCACACTCTCATGCAGATTCCAGCAGGTCATAAAGACATCTAGCATGTCAGGAACCTAGAGGGACCAAGAATAACAGGGGTCAATCACCTCACTGCGAGAGAAGCTGAAATTTATCAAGTTGATCTCATGAACCCTTTATTGTTTTTATATTACAATGTGTTGTACTAAACAAAAGTTACAAAAGGAACTTTATCAAAGATTTAACAAAGATTGTAGGGACAAAGCCAATTGTTACACTTGGAATTAAGAGTTATTAAAGATTTCTCATAATTTTTGTGCTGACTTGACCAAGCAGTCTGGTGCCTCTCTGTGTAAGGGCACAGGAATGTTGCTATACGTCCCTGTAAAAAGAGACATTGTACACCTGTATCAAACTTGAACTGTGTAATGATATATAGTGCAGATGGACTACATCAAAACTGTAGCCTGTTTCTTTCCAAGTCCAAGTCCAAGGTCACTATCTATCATCCAAAAGAAAGTCCACCAATGAGAGATCTGTAGATCTGGACCTGATAGGATCTCAGCCAATCACCAACTTGTGATGTCTTTCCCTAAAAACTAGAACCCAACTGATTTTCTTTGGTTAACCAACCTACTGGATCCTTATCTCTCCAGCTGAACTAGCAACTGACAAAAGGCCAAGAGAGTGAGTCAGTAAAGTGCAGAATTCTGTCTAAGATATTCTTCCTGAAACAGAATAAATCTTGTGTTCCTCAGCTGCCTGAGGGCCAATGCGAGCTACCCAGCTATGCCAGGCAAAGCTCTTTTCTTCTATCTCGCTGGCATGGTGACAGATATAGAGCGAACAGCTGCAAGTCAGACCATGGACCAATCAACCAGGCTCTGCCTTACCAGCTGGAAGTTAAACTCATCATGTGTTTGTCCAACACAATTTTCAGTTGAACTGTTATTTCAAACACAAGTTTGATGTTTACTTCATGACTGTTGTAGCGGCAATGCTTGTTAATAAGACAGAATTAAGTGTTGTGGGCTTTCCCAAATGAGGCCCCATTTCTCTGTTCATCTCTGTGGTGCAGCCACGGAGAAACTATTCATGCAGGCTGATTTAAGGTTTCCTTTGATAAGGGACAGCTCCCAAAGGGGGATGCACTTAGCTAAGCCTGGCTATCATGATCAATGGTCATCCATTGGTGCCTATCTGTCTAGGGAGTGCCATTTATATGCATATTTTATGTATTAATAAATGTATCCTCGTGTATTAGTACCCGTGTGTGTGTGCGTTGTTTGAGTTATATTGCATGGTTGGATTCTAAAGCCATCAAAAGAATCAATTTTGTGATTTACTGCTACAATTAATAATTGTCCCAGTAAATGCCCAAACCCTACAGAACTGGTGCCTTCAGAGAGCACACTACACTGTAAATGCACATTTTCTATTTGAGCATATAAATAAGATGGAAGTATTTGAGACTGATAAACCTATGAGACAGATCACACACATTTAGTTGATAAATGTAAAATCTTTGAACTCTACTCTTTGTAATCCCAGCAGATCCGTTCAGATATATTCTATGACGTTTGTTGTTTGTTATGCATGGTTTTGGTGTAATACCAATAAATTGTATATAGTCTATTATATTGTATATTTATAACTTATGTGTTAGACTGTAAATTGTTATGTTTGATAGGTTCCTAAAAGTCATCAAGTACTCTCAATTTACTGTCACAATTTGTGATTGTTACTGTGAACTAAAATCCCACATCACCTACAGTATGAAAGAGTCCTAATGATCTGGCAGCCGAGATATTGCTCACAGCTCAAGTACCGGCACACAGAGACTCTCTTGGTTCCTAAGAGGTAAAGATACTCAAGGGAACACAGACAGAGTTTAGTGTAACTCTCATGGAGTTACCAGCACTCTGCTTCTCTAGGAAGCTTTTAACACACAAGATCAGAATGATAAAAGGATAAGGCTACTGTCGTGTAATATGACAATGCTGTTATGTCCTCACCATGCTGGCCAGCTCCTTGCTGTGACTCTGGAAGAGGCGTGTGATGGTGATACACGCTGCACTGGAGCAGCTGTGCTGAGAGTCCAGCAGCAGCCTGTCAAACAGGCCTCTTATCATGATCTTCACTTGGTGGTGAGGGAGCAATCGACCTACCAGCTGGGAAACAAAGACATAGATAGATCAGGCTCCGTCTGTTTTAGCACCAGCCAGAAGAGCAGACATCAAAATCTTGGGATTTAATAAACAGTGAACAAAGAGGTTCAGACAAGACAACACCTTCATAGACATCATCCTTCAAGAGGTCAGCACAAATACAATTATAACCCACTCACAACCAAGAATCTGATGTCAACCCCCTACATTGAACACAAAAGTGATGGAATGAAACCATTAATCTGAAAATCTCAGGCCGTGTCCATAAAAAACAATGTCCAGTTCTAGAGTAATCACAGACGAAATAAGAAACACCAAAGCAAAGCAGTTTTCAGTATTTACTGCTTTGCACTATAATTTCCAGACAGCACACCAAGCTCCTTGCCATGGCTGTCTTAGAGACTGTCCTTACCTGTGTGACAGCAGAGCAAGAGCCCCTGACTGTGCCCTGGTCAAGCTCCATGAACACTGATTTTTTCAGAGTCATGAGACTCTTGGCACAGCTTTTGTGAGCTCGACCTGCAGAGAAACAGCATGAATTTAACACACAGGATACAAACTCTTAGTGATTCTCAGATATGTTTGATATTAATTCTGTTTAGAGAAAGATCTTGTTGAACCAAGTGATCCACTAGATCTGATAGAAGATCACTGTCTATAAATACTCAGAAGTACAAGTCTCTGAGTCAGTGAGGCACAGAGTAACCATCTCTCAGTACTGTCAGGAACAGATCCACTATCTATCCACACTCAGAATTTTAAATTGTTTTTGTTTGTACTGTGAGCTGCTTCATTTTTACCTTTTCCGCTCATCCAGATGTCCAGTACTGTGATGACACACTCCATTGCCTTCTCCCTGACAGATGGCTCTGTATCACAGCACCGGGGAAAGAGGAGTCCTAGGAGCTCCCCAACAGGGAACATCAAGTTATTCTGGGACAGAGAACACATTCCAGAGATGAGTCTGATGAGTCTGCTTCGGCTGTGGAATTACATTTATGGCAACCATGAACTGACAGTTTCCCTTCAATTCCTCAAATCATGTGGTCACAGGTGTGCTTAATTAAGAATAGATTTTCCCTAAAAAGAATTCCACTTTGTTAATATACAGTATGACTTCAGTCTCACCATGGGATTAAAGTTCTCAAGGTAGAACAGGAGAAGGGCTTTTGTGATTTCAATGGCTCTCACTCTCTCCCAGGTCTGGGCAGATCTGAGCCAGGCTTCCACAGGCTGAGGAAAACAAGGAAAAGACAGTGAGTGTCGTGATAGAGCAAATGACAGTTTTAAAACCACCAACACTATTAGGATTGTTTGAAGGTATAATGATAACACATCCCTTCTATAATTACCTTGTACACAAATATGGCAGATTTGACACCTTATTATTACAAATTTACCAGCATGAATTACAAAAATATCATGTATTTATTTCTGTCCATTAAGCTACAATATGCTTGAACTGTTTTATTGTTTTTAACTTCTTCTGTTCTTCTGAAACAGAAGTCTGATACCAAGCTTCCAAATCACAATAGAATAAAGTTCTGACCTCAAGTGCTCCCTGCAGTCCAGCTGGTCGGATGTTTTGCTGCAGTGTTTTGAGCAGCAGGTATAGAAGAGCTTCAGCAAAGTCACTGTACAGCACCTACCCCACACATAGCACATAGACATTCATAAAAAAAAAAAACTTTTTTCAAAGGTTATGCTTTGAAATGAATAGTTCAAGTAATCTTTCCAACCTGTGAATCCTGGAAGACTCCATAAAGAAACAATATTCTTTATACATTTATGTGTCCTACTTAGTGTCAAATAGTCAAGTCTATCACTCCTTACAGTACCTGGGGCTCAGGCCCACTGGAATCCTCTGGAGACAATGTGAGCACAGCCTTTGCACAAATGTGCAGTAAGGTATTGTGCACATCAGGCAGCACTGGGTTGAAACAACTGTATGACAAGATAAAGTTTGAGGAGACACAGTATTGATCAGTTATTAACTTTTAGAACTGAGTTATCATATTAAAAGAGCTGGAATCCCAATGACATCACGTCATTTTACACAAATAATATGGCAATAAATGAAGATCATACACTACCTTACAGTATATTTTAAATTATAGTATACAGTGTAAGAATGTGGAAGTAAGGGAGTTGATGTACAACACTTAAAATTGTAAAACTTACTATGAGGGCATCAAACCTAATGTCTCCTCTTGTTTCTCTTGTTTCAAGCACAGCTAAAAATGTAATTTTGAGACAGCTGCAGTAATGAAAGATTATTCAAGAAGCTGTACCTCAGTATCACACAGTTGCGCAGGGCCAGCAAGCGAACTGGAGAGCTCAGGGGGTCACTGGGCTCCTCTTTAATAAACTCCTGTAAAGTGATGGAAGAGAGAAAGTTTCCAGAACCTCAAAACACCACTTCTTTCCATTGGAATCTCACAGAGATCCTTGTACAATATGTGCAAAGGAACTCAGAGTCAAGAAAAGGAAGTGAAGAATCAGTGATGAAGAAGGTCACTGGAATATCAGAATATTCCTGATATGTCCTGCTATTCCTGATAGCATATTCTAAGAATCCCATTATACCAAAATCATTTCCAGCCCTTAATCATGAGACAGAGGTGGCCTGGTGCACATAAAATGATGTAACACAGTTTTGAAAGATTGGGATCATCTGCAGGCAGGGAAAGAGTAATACCACTTTGCTCCCAGCTCATTCATACTGAAAGAATAAGACTGTCCAGAACATCACTGTGTGAAACCAACAGTCTCAATGCAGCAGGTGACACTGACCACCATTGTCTCCAGGAGCTGGGCCTTGGCTGGGAAGCTGGGAGTCCCAGTGTGACTGGAGCTCAGCACGGCCTGAGAGATCATCAGCACACTGCGGCATAGGATCAGTCTGATGCTAGAGTCCTGCAGGGGGACAGACAGTAACTCACTCACTCAAAGCCCAGGCACTCCTGCAAGGAGGATGAACACTTCATCTCCACCAGCCTGAACTGGGATCTGCACTCAAGGAGTCTTTCAGAGTCTGAGTCTGAGATCCTTTTTTTACACACATTAAAGAAAGGACCTGTTAGGATTATGTTCACAGGCCTTTTGTCCTTCAAGAAACACTAAACCTTTGCCTACCTTAGTGGTGAAATGTTGTCTGACTCTGCCAAAAAAGTCAGTCTCCATTCTCTGTTGCAGGAGCCATGGTGCTTTGAGAGCAATATGCCCATAGGAAAGGATGAGAGCGATGGTAAAATCACTCTGCAGGGAAAACCAACACAGTGTAGAGGGCATGTTCTCATTAATCATTTCAGCTGTTTGTTTAATTAAAAAGAACTGTGAGCTTCAGTTTGAGTCCTCATGAAATGTCCATAGAGAAGAGTCCTCAACATAAACTGAGGAATTATCCTGCACTCAGAGCTCCTATGCTTACTGAATGATTGAATTCTTTCACTGTGTACTTGCAATTAAAAACAAATTGTGTCCAATTTAAAAGATCAAAAGAGACCTTTTGTAAACACAAGTAATACATGTACATCATGGAATTAAAAGAATAAAGCATGTATAAAACTCTTTCTGCTTCTCACTAAGTATGTAATGTTCTTAATGATTCTACAAACAACATGGTTAATATTTTCAAAAAGAAAAATTTAGAATTAAGTCAACATAAATGACAAAAACTATTAAAAGTCCAAGAAGCAGGGCATTTCAACTATATTAGCTCCTAAGAGTATTGCTGTAGTAGTGCTGAAAGAAAACTGTAGGCAAAGGCTGACATTAAAGAAGAGCTGTGGTTTGTCACTCAGGACTCTGAACTAGTGTACCTACCTCAGAGCAAAGATCACTGCAGTAGATCTCCGGATCGGTCTTCTCCACTCCCTCCAGCACAGACAGCACCACATCAGGGTGGGCACTAGCACACAGCCCCATCAACACTGCCAGCCCCTGGGAAACCAGACAGGCTCTCTTAGTGACCCTTGTACAGTGCAAGTACTACCATGGTGTGTTTCTTCAGATTCATTGAAAATACAGCACAGTCACCAATATCATTTTAGACAAATATATGTTTAAATATACTCCAATAGATACACAACACTTATGTGTTAGAATGAGACAAGGAGAGAGAACACATCTCAGACTCTGTTGGCCCTCTAGAAGCTCCTGTTGGCTTCTACCCCCTGACTAACACTACTACTGCATGTTTTAAAAAACGTCAATGAGAAAAATGCTCCATTACATTGGAGCAAGAATGGAGAAATCTATTTATTAAATCACTGAAATACCAAGAGTGGGTGCTCGCCAGACACCTCAATTCTATTCCGCGTTTGAGGAGACCAGTTTCTCCAGATTCTCCAGTTTCTCCAGTTTTGACCACTGTCAGTGTCCAACTGACAACTAGAGTAAGTGCTTATCATCTATAATAACATCTATCCATCCATTTTCTAACCATTTCATCCAATTCAGGATCGTGGAGGAGCCGGAGCCTATCCCAGCAAGCAACAGGTATAAGACTGTACTGTATAATTATATTTTAATTACGTAATTAAATTATATATAGTCAACATTACAAATTACATTTTTAAGGAGAAAAAAAGTTTCTTTAAATTATTTTCACGTTTATATAATATCATTTCCTAGACTGACACATTTCTAACCTCATAACTATGAGCCTTTTAGAGTTACTCAAGAGACGGATCACTTTACCTCTCTCTCCACAGGCCTCTCATACCGAACTCCTAGGAGTGCGTCCTGAAGCACATCTCTCACAGTGTCCTGGCGAGAGACGTGCTGGACTGCCACACCCACACACTGGCACAGGAAGGCCTGTGACACCAGCGGAGAGCAGAGTGAACACTGAGCTCAGGAAGCTGCTCTGTACAACAGCACTGAGAGGACATGACAGTTAGGGAAGTGTGGATCCTCTAACAGATCACTCACACATCATCACCTTACTATTGGCCAGCCTGCACACTCACAATACAGAACAAATTACTAGTCAGAGTCTTTGACCTATACTACAGTATATCTTGAGTCTTATTTTTCTGAAATATTTTCCAGAGATCATTATTCAGGGGATAAACCTAATTCAGAAGCATGATGCTACAGACACAGAGAGCTATTCCGGTCACAGACAGTACATAACATTTTGAGGTTCTCTTATCAGACTCACCTTCTCCTCACTGGTGGCGATGAGTGTGCAAATGCCTCTGGTCATGGCCTTTGTGAGGCTGCAGGCCCAGGCCTCATCTGCCACTGAACTCAGGGTGTTAGACAGGAGCTGAACACACACAGGGGAGGCACTCAGTTCCATAATAGGATGCACAGTGGACACATTCAGACACCACCTTGTGGAACTACACAGGTATTAGCACACAATATAATACAGCAATTTCAGCGCAGGAAAATTTATTTACATTAATCCACGGGTACTCAGGTGCCCAAGCATAAGATAGCTGTCATTGTTTAATGCCTGACATTCCCTTAACAGGAAAAACATTACTTTCTTTGCCTGCCCCCCTCCCTTTACACTGAGTATGTTATCTATCCTGCCCTCTCTCTCAGTACATACCACATACAGCCCTTCCTGCCACTGCTCCAGGGATATCTCTACCCCTTGCGATTCTGAAACACAACAGAGAAAGAGTTAAACACCGTCATATATGGACTGGAGCAGTACAGAGATTATTAATCAAGAATAGGTGTGATTCAGGCAGTTAACCCAGAAAATCAGGTAAGTTACAACTGAGACAAATAAATGCTGACAAAGTTAATCCTGGTTTGATCTGCTGTAGTCCTGTACAATTCTGGACAAGATATGAAAATGGCATCATATTTTGGATTCAATGGACAAAATAATACAGTATATAATAATAAGGAAGCTTCCCAGCAGTATTGCTCAAACTGATGTCCTGGTTTATTTCAATAAATGGTCAGATGAAATCCCTGAATCAATTCGATTCTTACTAACAAACAAGCAAAATAGATTGCTCTCTTCTTTGTAACTTTTTACATTCTTAACAATTCATATCTGATCAACCCTATGAATGAAACTAAATATCTCCATTAAGGGCAAATCTGCTATGCTCTCCTACAAAAACATTGCTGTAATTCTGAGGATGATTAGAACACTGCAACATATGTTGATTTCAAATTAGTGTCCTTTCTGTGCTGTTTGTTAACAAACATCCCCGAACTATTCAAACACACTGCAACAATGAAAGCAGCAGCAAAACATTTCATCCATCTATCCATTTTCGAATTTGCTTCTTCCAATTCAGGGCAGGGGCACAAGTCAAGGTACACCTTGGGCAGAAAGCCAATCCATGGCAGGGCAGTGGGGTCAGTGTGGGGGTACCTGTGAGGTTCCTGGCCAGGGGTGGAATGAGATGCTCCCACATGCTGTGCAGCCTGGGGTGGATGATTGAGCTCAGGGAGTGCAGAAGTGTCAGGCACTCATGCCCACCTCTGAGTGACTGAGAGGCTCCAAGCTGGGAAACAGACATTACCACAGAAATTCAGCTCAGGACCACTGATAATTACTAAGCTTCAGAACTCATGCCTTTCTCAACTCACTCAAGGTGACTTGTGTTCTGCCAGCTGTGGCCTGACTTACCAGAAGTCTAATCAGCATGATATCTGGTGAAGCTATGTAATCTGAAAAACAGAGACATTGACATAAAAATGAAACACGGGTAAGCACTTTGGAGTGAAATGATTCTGGAAATACCAAATATACTACACTGTCACGCCAAGTGGACAGCGGAGCCACTCCCATTGGAGTTCCTAAACATAGTCCCTGTTTACAAGTAAAATTCATGTTGATCTGTTCTGTCACTTACTCACTAGATGAGCCTCTATACTAACCCAGCTCTTCAAAGTCAGAGATCACAGAGTAGCCCTTCTCACACAGCCTGCTGTAGAGCACATTCAGATTATTGCACAATACAGGCAGAGCATCACTGTATGTTCTCCAGAAAATGGCCTTCAACAGGTTGGACCACAGCATCTGATAAGAACAATACAAAACAGAGGTCACTTAAATCTCAACCACAGCAAAGCAGCACTGTATTGTAAAGAAAATTCAGATGGAAAAAATGGAGGGATAGAGACATGAAGGCCATAACAAAGAGCTAAGTCAGTGAGTGGAGAGGACAATCGATGTGACCTTAGAGATGGAAAAGTAATGTACTATGTGACAGAGACCATAGTGAGACACTTACTTCAGTCACAGTATCATCTGTGCACCAGCAACACAGCACCACCTCAAAACTGTGTCTCACAGCGCTTATACTCACAGGGTCCCTGGAGCTCTGAAGACAGAAAAACCCAAATATTTTCCCATTGCTTTTACACCTCACTCACTCAAATTTAAAATGTACAGATGTGTAACTACAAAATGTCACTACACCAAACCACTACCGAGGTAAACCTGATTCCATACACAACTCCATACCTTGGTGATGTCATCTACAAGGGCACAGTTCTTTACAATGTATTGCAGTGCGACAACTGTGCCCTCCAGCCCCAGATAGCCCCTTTTCCCCATCTCCATCAACACCTGGGACTGCAGATGTTTCACCTGGGGACAAGAACCACAGCACATCATTACTGAGAATCAGGTTCAACACATTATGAAAAACACAAACCCTACTTACACATCCTAGAGTATTTCCATAAAATTATCCACATATCCAAAGATGCAGTAGGATATACAGGAGAGCATAAACACATAACAACAGAGTGAGGCCATATTATTTAGGCTGGACTGTACCTTATTGCTGGTGTTTCCAAGGGTCCCAGTAAAGGACTTCAGCACATACTCCTTCAAATGTCCACTGAGGAAATCTGAACATACAATCAATCATACAGTATGAGTGCAGTTCTAGTGCAAACAGATGAATGAGACAGAGCAGAGACTGGAGGAAGAGGTGACTAGAAAATAGAGATCACCTCATTAGTAGATAGAGAAAATGCCCATGCTCCATCAGCACTGATTTTTAATTCCTACTTCCTAAATAATACAGATGCTGTGAAGAAATTGAGACATTACTAGTGGCCATGATGTTGGAGCTTCATTAGCAATGAAAGTGGCTCAGGACCTGCGCGCACACACCTTGATGTACAATATTTGAGAACAGAGTAAGGCTCCCCAGCTGGTTCTGCTCCACTGGACTGTCCAGCATTACCAAGACAAACTGCAGGACCTTCTGTGGAAAGACCTTGGCTGCAGAGAAACAAAACAGAAGGAAGTCGCACAAGTCAAGCTTACACACACATTCCATCAATGCCCACCTGATTACAGCTCACTCCTAGATTCAGAGAACTGTATCTATTTCTCAAACTGTCAAACTGTCTTTGTCTTAGACTATGATTCAAACATCAAGTTTGAGATAAAGGTTTAAGCCCCCACCTAAGTCAATGAAGCTCTTGATCAGGTACATGTATCCCTCATCCTCTGGAGGATCAAAAGACTCACAGATCTGAGAGAAATAGAGAAATTTCCTTTACCTACTCAGACACATTAGTGGCAGAGATTGTATGAATTTGATTAAGATGTATTTTCAAATTGGAAAGTTACACAATATGTTACAGACTTTAATGTTAATGTGAATTCAACAGTAAACACATGTATCATTCATTGTACAGTATTTTGCCAGTGTGTGATGTCTTCCTTGGTAGGTGAAGAGTGATATGTCATAGCTGCAAACTTTAGTCCCTATTACCTTTGTGTGCATCATGTTCATCATGTAGTTCAGATGACAATTCAGAACCTGTCTACCTTTCTGAAGTCCTGCCTCCACAACCAGACTGAGACTCTGAATGAAGAGCACATGTATGTGAATTTGGCCAAATGCCTGACTCTCGCAATCTAAAGTTTAGATTTATTATAAAGAAAACAAAACAGTAACAGACAGAATTTCTCCCTCTTTCCATTCGTTACTGGTAGATTCATCTGCATCCAACTACTGGTAGAACAATCTGTCTTGCAAACTTCCACAATGATATTTGCAAATTTCTCGGCATAATTCTTTCTTAAGGTGTTAAAAATCTTCTGTAATTTGATTATATGAGTGAGGAATTCAAATAAAACAGAAACCTCTTCTAAACACACATTCAGTTAGATTCTTCCTATCTGCCCAAGCAGCAAAGCTGCAGTCCTAGTGCTCAACACAAACCCACCTTGTTGATTCTGTTGTACTGGATATTCCATTCAACTGTGTACAATGGCAGGAAGGCATAAACAATTCCTAGCAGGTTTCTTTGAAGGATCTCCTCTGACAGAAACCTACACATGGGTCCAAATGCCAAAACGATGGCCTCAGTCACCTACCGACAAAGATGAGATGAGAACATCAGTATTCAAACAAGCAATCCAATCAGAGGACAGCAAACCTGTCCACAACATCAGATAGACACAAAAATATAACTTGTGTATCCTGATTCTGGTGATCATCCCTCTGTCCAGTTGGTCCTACCTGATACCTGCACAGTCACACCTGCTATGTTTTCATTATCGTCAGGACATGGAGTTATAGATGATCAATAAATCATAAAGCAATATACAGAGAGGAGATGTCATACCTTTAAGTTAGTTGTTGGCAGCCAACTGGACATAATATCATAGCTGGTGCTGATCTGTTGTGAGACATCCAGGATGTTGTCAGCTGGAGCCTGGGATTGATATTGACTCCAACTCTCACACAGGCTTCCTAATGCTGGAAAGTCACAAGTAATGTTCGTTTTATCACATAGCTGTATGTTGAGCCATTAGCTGCTTCACTCTCTGATTATTTTCTACAGCTGTACTGTAGCTCAGTGAGAATAAGTTAAGTCAAGGTACTCTCAAAGTAACTCTGCGGCCTTAAACTATTAAATCCTCCTCTCAAACATGTTAAATGAATATCTCACTAATCAACCAAGCTTTCACACTTACCAAAAGACATCATTGCCCTCATGACTTTGGTTTTTGCTAAAGGCAGAAGAGGCACTAAAAAGTTCAAAATTTTCCCCATGTCACTGGCAATTTCAAGGACTGCAAAAGTAGAAAAAAACACATTTCAAACTGGATAGGGGCCAAGGCCCACCGTTACACTAAAGGTGCAAAGCCTGGCCGAGTAAATAACCATGTCTCTTTAAAACGATTCATTGGTTTTTACCTTTAACCTCATCTAAGTATACAACAAACAAACAAAAAAAAAATTCACCTACTCAACAGAACAGTAATCAGATGCAGTGTGAGTTCCTAGTCCACATACCATTACAAGCACTGAACTTACTGCAGTGATGGGAGATATCTGACACAGCCTGCAGCAGGGCGTGGTGTGGGAGCTCTCCAGGCTGTAAATATGACAGCACCATGTCCATGGTTGTATGATAGTGATCTCTCACCACAGACACGACAATATTGCTGCATGCTTGCTGCCAATCAGGCAGCCATTTCTGTAACAGTCACAAAAAATGTTTTATTTTATCTTTCATGTCAGGAGTCTTGGTGGTTGAGCAATGGATAGAATAAAGACATCATGCTTAACAGATGAGGAATCTTCTTTCATTGCCAAGTTCATGCAAACAACTTCATATCTTGACTGAACTAAAACTACTCCTCTTTAAGACAACAAGTCCAGGAAAAGATTGCTCCAAAGGCAGGACCTGAAGGGGGATCACTTACAGATGACATGGTCATTTCTTTTAAGCCCACTGACACAGTGCTCTTAGCCAGTGACTCATCCAATTGTAGAGCTGCCCCTGTCTCACAGAGCAGCCTCTCCACTGCCTGGAGGATTGCAGTGCGATGAGCAGGTGTCATCTAGAAAAGGGGAGAAAGATAACAAGGGGTGAGACTGCTGCTCTCATCACAACATCAGTGGTGTAAGGTCACAGGGATCCTTCAGGGAGACAGTCACGACTGTCAACAATTACTGAGTCTGAAACAGTGGAGACGTACAACTACTGTAGAACAAACCAATTCACCACATTGGTGAGTAAATAGAATATACAGTAGAAAGTATTCCCTTTTTAGTAGTAATAATAATAATTAATAACTCCTTACACTTACAGTATACAGCGCTTTTCTGGACACTCCACTCAAAGTGCTTTACAGGTAATGGGGACTCCCCTCCACCACCACCAATGTGCAGCATCCACCTGGATGATGCGACGGCAACCATAGTGCGCTATAACGCTTACCACACATGGGCTATCAGTGGGGAGGAGATCAGAGTAATGAAGCCAATTCATAGATGGGGATTATATGGAGGCCATGATTGGTGAGGGCCAATGGGAAATTTGGCCAGGACACCGGGGTTACACCCATACTCTTTTATAAAAACACCTGGGATTTTTAATGACCACAGAGAGTCAGGACCTCGGTTTTACGTCTCATCTGAAGGATGGCACCTTTTTTACAGTATAGTGTCCCCGTCACTATACTGGGGCATTAAGACTGACATAGACTGCAGGCTGAGCGCCCCCTGCTGGCCCTACTAACACCTCTTCCAACAGCAACCTTAAGGTAGTAGTGATCAAATGCTATCAAATTACAAGATATATATATATTTATATATATATATTATTATTTATTAGTAATACAAAATAAATCAGAGATCACTAGGTTGTCAGTTAGAATACAGGTTCACAGTGTTTCAGTGCAATGAGCTCTCTCTGTAGTTCAGACTGAACTGCACTTCTGAAGTGTGAATGTATGGATGAGGAGGAATCACCTGGCTGCTGCTAAGAAACCTCAAGATCACCGGCAGTGTCCCCTTCGTGTTTTGCTGTAGGAGGGTATAGAGCTCTTTCATGAGCTCCTGCATGTCTGGCTCAGAGTTCATAGCCTCCATTACAGCTATGATTTCATCTGCAACAGACACACAGTCATCAGGACAGCAGGAAGACACTGGTGCTGCTTCAACACAGTCTCCTCTAAAGCTACCAGTCAGATAACCCTGAAAAGAAACTGCCGTCTGAGGGACAACAGCCCCAATTAACTAGCAGTTTCTAATAACAATCTAAACTCATTAAAACTGTATTGGAAGCACAGCACACATAAAAGAGGACCTGTTTAAGACCTAACTTTTGACAGTATGGAATAATAAAAATCTGTTTTACCATGTATCCTAGATTTTGATTTAACCAACATTTTAATTAGGCTATTGAAATGATCATTTTCTTAATTAGCTTTTATTATTTGTTGATTTCTTCTTTTAAACACTGTATTTTAACTTCTCTCCCTCATATCATGGAGAAAAGGAGCTGGAAAGTATTAAATTAAAAGTCTAATGAAGTAATGAAAAGCTGATTTTGTAAGAATAAGACATGGTGTGTGTGTGGAAGACAAGGTGTCATACCTGGCCCAGGGCACTGGCACTCTGTCTGGGTGGACAGACAGGAGGAGACCCAATTTCTCCCTCTCTTCTGACACTTACAGTGACTCAAGCTCATCTTGTTTCTCTCACAGAACAGCAAGAACAGAACAATGAAAGGTGAGCTAGACTTTATTTGTTACTTAGCGTTTATAAATTTATTTCTGACAAGCCAGAAGTTGGTATTCGATGTCTATCATTCAACTCTTCTATATCATAATGACATTACTAAACGCATTAAAAAGAATAGATCCATAATAAAAAGACAAACATGAACAACTATATTTTCTGTTTAGTGCTGCACTGTGTGCAAAACGCTGCTAGTGAACACCCGTGGGAAATAGCTTAAGATAACCCTTTCCTTATCGGTACGCAGTGCTGCCATTAAAACTGTTTCTTCCCGGGCGAAAACATTTGAGTAAAATAATCGCGTCAATTTTTGGCTCAGCTATTCCCTACCTCGTCCAATAAGAATGGGTGATTCTTCCTTCCAATAGAAAGAATAGAAAAAAAAAACGACTTAATGTGTTTCTGAAATGAAATCTGTGATTTCTCCGCTAAGTATATTAGCTTTTTACAAATTATATTAAAAAGACGCGTCTCTAGGCGGCTAATTGTTACGTCACTGCGATTATGTCATTTCTAGACGTGTCTAAAAATGGTAATTGTTAAACACTAATAATAACCCAGATAACGTGGGTTTATTCTTTGTAATTAGTAGTGCTTTTGAACAATTTTACGAAAATCAAACAATAAATAGAGGCAATAAAGCAAGAAATTCAATGTTTTCTTGAAAACGGTGTGCGAAACACAAGCATGTTTTTAACATGTTTATCATTCCCAAACTGAAATGATGCTTTTCAGCTTTATAATAAAACCTCACGTTGTTGTTGTTATTATTATTATTATTATTATTATTATTATTTAAAACATTCCTGTGGCTTGGCTTTACTACTTGAGTCGGCCAGATCTAACGGAAACATATTCGCTTCTCTTTTTTATTTGCCCTGAATCTAAATTTTTCTTACAAATTGTAATCACTCTTCAGGGATTGTTTTAGCAGTTCTTCCTTCAAACAGAGCTACACTCCACTGCTCTCTGGCTCAAAATCAGCCTCCGTTGTTGTGGAAAAGTCAACATGGGCATTAAATTTAACTTAACGATTTCATTCCGTTTTATTGTCTTCAGACCTTCAGACTCATACACTTGATTAAAAAGAGAAAAATATATTTTTTTAAATACGGATATGCTTTTCTGAGAAAAATTACTATCATCTTGATAACATTGCGATGATCAAAGTTGTACTGTATGTAACAGATTAAGTCAATTTAGTCCCGTAATTTCCAGTAGCGAACTGCCTGCATTAATGCATTGAAATTACAGGGGTTCAACCAGACTAAGATCAGGAGATTGAGACAACCATTTAAGAACATTTATTTTACCTCAAGTCCTGCAGGAATGTCCATTTTAACCAGACTTGTGCGTCTTAGCAGACAGAACCTGTTATTAAAATATCCTGTTCAAAACGTGCTGTTAAGTGTTGGAGTTCAATATTACTCCTTTTTTAACGTGGACCCAAACTAAATACCCATAGATGCTAAACAACAACAAAATATAATACCCTCTACTCTACTTGAATTTATTTGAAAGGACAGGAGGACTTTTTTTTTACATAGACTTTTTTATGTCATTTGGGTGTATTTTTTTAACTAGGTGGTCTATTTTTGTGCTTTGCCTTTGGAAGAAGCTACATCTTTGCATCCTGGCCAAGGATGTCACATTCACATAGGCAACACTTTGTAACTGTATGCACATTATAGTGTGGTCAAAACAACAGGACAGTAGGCAGCATACAGCAGCAGGTGGTTGGTATTGCTGCCCTGCAGCACTGGGGCCCTGGGTTCAATTCCTGGGGTGTTATCTGTGTGGAGTTTGTACTGTATGTTCTCACTGTGTTCATGTGGGTTTCTTCTGTGTGCTCTGATTTCCTCCAAGTCAAAAAACATTCTACCAGTTTTATTGGCTTCTGGAAGAAATTGGCCTAGTTGTGAGTGTGCATGTTTGTGTCTATGGGTACCTTGTGACGGACTGGCATCCCATCCAGGGTGTATCCTGCCTTGCACCCATTACCAGGTAAAGCTAAGGCTCCCCCATGACCCTGTATTGCTTAAAGCAGTTAATAAATGACTGGATAGAATACACACTCTGGACATACTTGCACGTTTCACGACTCATCATTTTCTCAATACACTACTTGGCAAACCTGTTTCATGACACCATGCTTGTAAATCAAGCCAGGGATTTGTATAGAATGACAAAGCACCTTGATGAAATCACCTGGCTTTAGGATCATGGAGGTGATTACTCAAAGTCACCAACTCAAACATAGAAAAAGAAAGAAAACAAGTCTTTGCTTTAAAGGGAAACAGACTGACCAAAAAGGGTCAAAAGGAGACATCTAAGGCATTTCACACCTGAAGCCCTGAATTAATTTGTCCACACCCAACCCAACCCACAGCAAAGAAACCACCCAAATGAACACACTGAAAGGAGCAGGACAGAAGTGCCTCACTCATTATTACTCTCCTATGATGTATTTCCAGCATAATAGGAAAATAATGATCTGTGAAAGACAGTGACAAATGAATGGGCTGTGCTAAAGTTATTTTTTTAATTTTGTATTTTAAATTTGAGACTGGAGGAACTTTTTTCCTTTACTACTGTACAGTATATCTACAATGGCTTGTTAAAAAGGGTTGGAAGTTATGGCACCATGTTCCTTGAAATGTGACCAAAACAATCTGCAATGAAGTTTTAACTGAAAAGGTGTATTTCATATGTCAAGATAATGTTATAATATCAAGAAGCTTTAGTCCTTTGCAAATTATTAAGAGTTTTGAATACTTTAGGTTGCAAATAGTTTTTTTTTTCATATGATTATCTTTATCTTGTAAGAAATGTCCATTCCAAAAGACAACTTTGATTTTGTTATAGCTCCAGTGGACAAATAAGCATGTACTCCTGTGGAGAATCCCCATTGTAACCACAATGCATCTCCCTCAAAAACGTTTCTTGTCTTGTTAAACAAGATAGGCATAGACAAAAGTTAATTTGGCTACTTTGACATCATGCTGAATGTTTCTTTTTTACAGTTGAGGTAAAAAAAACAAAGTGCTGAAGATGAACATGACCAGAGAACCTGCTGGTGTATACAGTTCACCAAGGTTCATGGACAGATCAGGGAAGACTTTTTGTCTAACAATACAAATTTTAAAAAATCAAGGTTACTGGAAGATTAGTGAAAGAATACCAATTACAAAAAATAGAAATCATACATTCACAGGAAACTGTGGGTTAGGAGGCTTAATTATCTCATATAATATAATTATATCATATAATTATAGTAATAGTTTCATGAAACACTTTACAAAAATGTGTACAATATTCAGTATAAATACAGTAGTTATGCACACAGCATAAGCACATTAGAGTCATGGATATATTATACAGTAATGGAGTATTCTCAGCATAGGTTCTATAGATTCATTAAAAACAAGATTACAAGATTGCTTTACAAACTGTAGATTGCACATGTACACCTACCACACACTAAAAGTAAACAGGAATATCATGGATATCCTCTTTCTATAGATGTAAAAGTGTGGTTAATGCGGGTTGTGTGAAAGTCTTCATCAGAACAGCAGGAGGCAGTCTTGTGTTGTTTCACTCTTTACTGAACTCAATAAGTACACAACAATGTTGTGTTTGGTCAGCCCTGCAGGGCAGACACATTCCAAGGTATTCCCATTTTCTCTATACTGTACCTGCTCTGAAAGACGATTTGTCCTGTTCTTTGATACTCTATGTAACAGAAGTTGATTTATTTGTCCTGTTGCCTGCAGCTCTTTAGAGTTTGTCCTCATATGTGCACCTCCAGACTGTGCTCGTTCCCCATTACTTTACTCCCTGTACTCCCTACTCACGTTTGCAGAGAACACCACCCTATTGGGTCTTATCAGTACCTTGTCCAAGGCCAGATACAGAGGGAAAGTTGTTCATTAGCATGGTGTGAGTATGGTAATCTTTTAAGATTCTAGGAATAACCATTTCTAGCACCCTCAAATGGGATGCTTAACCAGAGATTGTATTTCCTGCATCAGCTGAAAAAACTCAGTGTTTCCCAGACTATTCTCATCTAGGTTTATGGAGCCATTAATGAGAGCATTCTTACAGCTTCTATTACTGCTTGGTCTGGCAACACGTCTGTCCATTCTAGAGGTGAATTACAACCCATTGTCTGCTCTGCAGAGAGAGTCATTGGCTGTCATTTGCCATCTACTGAAGACTTGTTAAAGCTCAGAATTAAGAAGTGAGCAGGAAAGATTGACGATAACTCCTCTCACCAAAGACACCATCTGTTTAAAAACATTGCCTCAGAGAGACACTACAATCAAAACCAAAACCACCCAGAATCTGAATAGCTTTTTCCCCATCACCCTGTTTAACGAAAAGATGTGAATACAGGATGTAGTGTACAGTATATAATTGAAGACCTGTGTGTAAAGTTTATATATTATTAAATGGAGTGCACATATATTATTGAAAGACACCAGATCAAATTCCTTGTACACATAATATTTTGGGAAATAAGGTGATTCTTATTTTGGCGTCTGTGGGTGTTTGGTAAGGCCTAAGTCATCAGATCTCAGCAATTACTCTAAATATCTGGTATAGGGATAATTAGTAATATTTTACTGAAAGATATGTGTTACATATATACAGGTATGTCCCACTTCAATGTTTGAAGTGGTAGCATCTAATAAATACTTTTTTGTCCTTAACTGATAAAAAAATGTTTTTATAAATTAATTTCAGTTCAAAAATGAATTTAATAATAATAATAAAAATGAATTTCAATTTCTATTTCAAAAATCGAAGTTTTTGATAGTAACACCAAGATTATAACATAAAGCAACGTTGAAGCAAACACTACATTTACACTAAAACTAAAATTTGGGATAATCTTGCGTCCAGATAGGCAAATCAGTTCTTCAGTCAACAATTACAGTTTATTTCCAGAAGGTGGTACTTTAGCAGGCCTCCGTCCCGGCCATAGTCAAACATTAACAAGAGGCTTCGCTGGTGATTCGTTACAGTCACTTCGCCGCTTGAGATCAGTTGCAAACATTGCTGAGGAGTAACATGAGCAGCATGTGCAAGTGAAATCGAATCACGTCAAAAATTTGCCAAATGCTTTATTTTCGTTGCAATCAAATTATATAGGACGCAAATACTCTGTGCCATAGTGGCTTTCTGAGTGAGAGGGAACTTTCTTCATAGTCGGACAAACTTCCTGTGAGTAGAGACAGTCATGGCGGCGTTCAGAAGGGGAGTGCAGTCTGTTGGCTTGTTCAGGTACTGTCCGTAGCCTGGGTTTTGAGCTATAATCGACTGCTTTTTCACGTACGCGCGCAAGTGCAACTTTGAGACATTCAAACTTCTTGTTGTTAAAAACAACAGCACTCGGAAGTAAGAAACAACTTCCAGGCTTGCAGGAGCAGTTTTGAGGAGCGAGTAAACAATTAACAGAAAGTAACGTGTGTACTTACTGTACAGTATGTGCTCTAATCGACAATGTGTTGTCCAGTAATGTGCGTTCCCGTATGTATTCGGTGTGAACAGATACATAATCACTAACATCTTCAGCAATAATACCCTTCATTTAAGAGTTGGATGTTAAACAAGGTGCCAAGTATTGTTGTTCGAAGTAATTGAGTTGACAGATTTGTTTATTTTTATCAGGGTTATTAATGTATTTTACATGTTAGTTTGTTCTAAATACTTTCCAGGAGTGCAAAGTCTAAATGTGTTTATAAATCTTGCATTTGCAAAAATTGAAATTCACGATTTTACCTATTCAAAACGTGTGATTTACCATTTTTAGAGAAAAACGGAAACGCTTCGTGTCTAGACACCAAGTCTAGTATAAAAATACACAGGGGATAGTGGTCACTGCTATATATGCAGACTGTTCTTACTACACAGAGTAACGTCTCTAGATTATAGATTTAAATGACTGTTGTTTTTGCATTAGGATCCATAATTGTTTGGTACAATAAAGTTAAAAAACACCCAAGATTTAAAAGAAAAGTGCACCATTTCAAAGCTTGTCTTAAAATACCTGTGTAGTAGTCCTAGTGAAGCATTATCCCAAATACAGAAGTGGAGACTAATGTGGTGTATTTAGTACTGAATACAGGAGGTGCTTTTTTAATGGAAATTGGTGGGTGTCTGGTAAACCTGATTACCTAGGGTCTTCTGGGAAATGGCACAGATCATGGGATCAGTGTACATGCATTAGTACCTTTTATGTCCTTTCTTTCCAGGTGTTCTTGGAGCGTGCTCAGTTCTAGCAGACACAGGATTGTTCGGATTCCTCTGCTGCTGAGGAGTAACTTCCTCTCTCTGGGAGCGGGCGGGGGGCTCTGTGCTGTCCCCTTTTCAAAGGTAGAATGGTCCTCACCAATTGCTTTTCTACCCAGTTGAACCCTTAGGCTTCAGGCTTTCTCAATTCTAAGAAAATACAAGAGATGTTTGTATGGAAAGTGTAAGAATATATCTTTTTTAAAAAGTTTTGAGCATTTTGCCAAGAGTAAAGACTCTCCATTCCTTAAGCGCAATTCTTTAAGTGAGCAGGTCAGACTGAGTTTCCTGACTTGAAGTAAGGATGTTTCATATGGAGATGTCTGAATGATCTTTGTAATAGTTTTAAAAAGTTATTTGTCTATGGATGCCTTGCTTTTACCGGGCACTTGTTTTGCTTTCAGTACTTGTGGACTTTGCTCTGTTTTCACTTTGAACTCAAAAAGTAGAAACAGGCTGTTGTTGTTTTTTTAAACTTGCCAGTCTTCACTTTGAAAATATGCACTGTTTAACCCCTCAGCTTCTCATTGGTGTCTGACTTCAAGCTCAGTTAGAATTTTGCTTTTTATTGCATACTTTTGTACATGTTGAAAAGAGACAAACTAGCTAATGCATAGTACTGTGTAAATGTGTGACCTTTTAGATGAATTTCCACAGTAGGTCTTTTTTACAGCTAAGTCTACAATATGTAGTATTTTGTATAGTACAAAACAAGCAGGTAAAATAGTTGCTGTAGTTGACAATAACCACCCCACCAACTGAAAAAGCAATTGTGTATGGGGACTTTTCATTCTTACATCCAGTCCCATCTTCAGCACCGAAGAACACTTGGCCCACAGTGAGATTCCTCCTTTTAGTGAGCTCTTAAAAGATGCTTTTCCTTTTAATAGACCTAGATGTACTATCTGCCTGTAAATTGAGTTCTGCACAGATATTAGAGGCCTTATATCATCAGCCACTGTACTGTACGTCACCCCTCCATTGCACATCTCGAGGAATAGTCTATGGCATTACCAAAGTTACATATACAAAGTAAGATAAATGAACTCCATGCTAATGAGATCACATACAGAAGTAACAGCTATACCTGTCTGCTAGGATTGACTTTACAGTATGTGCACCAAACCAAAATTAAAGCTATAATCCTGAAACGCTTATTCACTATGTTTACATTTATTTTTGTACACTTAATTGGACTTGAACATTTATCCATAATGTCTTGAAAATATAAAATATATAAATAATACTGTGTAAACAAGACCAAATCCTTCCCAGTTTTAGATATTTCAGATTAGGTTGAACTACACTCTATGAAAAATGATTTTTTTCGTTTGATTTACACACAAGAATTTTACATTATTAAAAAAAATAAGCTCAGGGTGAAAGCCACTCTTAAGTGTGTACAAAGAAAGGTAAACAGTGCACAAAATGTGTTTTCTGTGGATGATGACATTATGTTGAAATGAATTGTTTTTTCCAGAAGGTTCCAAAGGTTCTAGTTTGAAGGTGAATTCACTTTAGTTTTAATGCATACTAGACTTCCCAATGTGCTACTTATTTGCTACTTGTATTTGTACTCCTTTCATATTGGCAAATTGTTGGCGTGAACAAGACTGCAGAAAATATGGGCCTCCAATATTATTCCTCCATTTCCTTTCACCTGAAATTTTCATGGACCAACTACTGTAAATCCAGTTGCTGGCTGCCTAATTTCTGGGCATACTGAAGTTTGGTCAGTGTGGATTTAGTAGGGCATTGCAGTAGTCAATTTGAGAAAAGATTAAAGTATTCATTAACCTTTCAGCAACAGTTAGTGACAACATAGGATGTAGTTGGGCAATATTTCTGAGGTGGAGAATGATGTTTTGACCATATGTTGCAACTGATCAGCAATTGTGAAACATACAAATCTAGGTTTAAAGAGAATAGCGAAGTGGTCAGAGAAGCCTAGTTCAAGATAAGAGAAGTAAGCAACAATAGTGATTTGCAATTGCTAAATCCAGGGTGTGTCGTATATTATGAATTGGGCAAAGAACAGACTGGGTTAGATGGTGAAGTTGGAAATCTGGGTGTACAGGTATTGAAATAGGAGAATTCCTAAAATTGACTGATAATAGATGAGGAATTATAGTGACTTTGCTAAATCTGGTAAATCTCTGTGAGAAGAATTGAACTGTGGACTGTACAGAAGGGGGCCACTAGAACATCTGGGGCCCCAGAGGGGTTCCAATCACAAGACTGTGTGACAGGCCACCGAAAATTGTGATCTGAAAATCCTGAACATTTTAAACTGACACTGATGAAGAGATGTAGTTTGTGGTTCATGCAACTGCATTATCACAAAAATGTTACATCAAAGCAATGTTTGATCTAGGATTAAAAACCCTAAATATGAACAGTCGCTTCGAACGTCTATGTTGGATTTCAGCCAGGTAGTCTTTTTGGTTTGCTTGGAAGAATCCACCATAACCTGCTGCTGTCCATTGCAGTTAATTTCAGAATGACAGGGGGGTGCATCTTAAATCATGTAACGTCCACTATGAAATTGTCAAGTTAAATTTGTAGAAATAATGAAAAGTGCCTCTCTAGTGAACCCCGGGTGTTGGGAACTTTGACCCAATAAATCAGCTGTATTATCAATGCTAAGTGACATCATAGTATATTACTGAAATAGTAATTTGCCAACAAATAAGCGGTAAAAACTCTTATTTTGAAAATGTTTTATTTGTCTATGTCTTTTGTATTTATGTTTCCATCTAGCAAGCTGAGAATCTGTCCCATGAGGCACTGATCAGGCGAGCCTCCTCCTTGGTGACGGACAGTGCCAACACCTATCTCTCCCAAACTACCCTTGCCTTAGTCGACGCCCTGGCACAATACGCTAAGGTGAGGAATGTAACTCATTGCAGAAGGGAAGTGGGGTTTTCAGGAATCCAACAAAACTGTTCTCTAGCATGTGTGAATTACTGTGACTTCTCATCTGCTTTACATAAATGCTTTATCACAGTGGTTCTCAAACTTTTTGGACCAAGTACCACCCCTAATCCAACCAAAGCATCCAAGTACCACCTACAAGTCATCATCTCATAGGAACCCCAGAAATTCTCAATGACCAACATGAGCGCGCTTGCACACACACTCACACATACATATAATAAATATTATAATAATAAACTTTATTTGATATAGCGTCTTTAAAGGTGGCTTCTCAAAGTGTTTTACAGAAAAAAAACAACATTAACAACAACTAATAAAAAAACACCATTTCAGTGAGAGAGGTGAGCCTGTTTAGTTGAGCAAAGCAGATATGAATTAATTTTTCAAGCCTTGATACAATTCACAACAGAGTCTAACAGATATTAAATCGTCAGGCATTTTCTTGACGGATAAGGTCTTGCGGTGGATGTTGTAATGCGTACATTAATTTCTGGAGCAACCTCTCTAATTCGTGCAACTTCACCGTTATGTCGGCTTGTCATTGCTCTAGCAACGTCTGTACAAACTCAGACGCATTTTATCCAGTCGAGGCCATTCTCTTCGATAAATTCATTCAGAAGCTGAAATATGTGCTTTATTGTAGTTCCTGTTGGTAGCGGTTTACAGAACAGAAAGTCTTCATGGGACAT